TTGAAGAGTTATTTTTTGAGCTTATAGTAATGAGTTTTAGAGATTTTAATAATGAGTTTATACTTCTCCAGCTGATAGATAAAGCATTATATATGTAAGCAGCCTTATGTTTTGTTATGCAATTCCGGACAGCTCTCCCTTGAAGATAAATCAGAGTAGACCAAAGAGTATTTTTTGTAATGTAGATTTTGGCAGTGTACGCTAAACCACTGCTTCTCAGTTGTAGGCATTTGTGGCAGTCTAGTTAACATTAAAAGTGTCAAAATAAATGATTAAATTTAAATTACCCCATAGCAGCTCTGTTACCCCATACCACTGTATACCACAAATCCTAAAACCACAAGAGCCCAATGCAGCAGCACCCTCCTGCTGTGCTGTTAACTTTCTCCCAAATGCTGAGACATTTGCAAGTCTTGCTCCGTGTCTGCAATACAGAGAAGGAAAACAAGGATGCTCTCAGGCTGTGGGTAGCAGGAGAAGTTGTGGGCAGCCCATTTGGAGGGGAAGTCGCTGGGTAAGGCAGTGAGATATTAAGGATTTACCTAACGCTGTGTCTTCCCCAAACCAGACCCTGCCAGGCACGAGGCTGAGACCCCTGTCTGCAGCATCATCCTTGGCAAAGGCAAAGAAAATGGGACCTGGAAGGGCTCAGGGTATGTGTGCATGGCATTAGCAGCTCCAGTTTGAATTCCATATGGGATTACACACCTGATTCGCCGGGTGGCAGCCAGGTGCGTTACATTTCTGCTGCCCCTGAAGGGGAAACCTTCTTGAAGGTTTGGTAGGAGAGGTGCAAGGGCTTGACTTTGGGCATGCTTAATTCCTGTCTGCCCCATGGTTTTCCTGGGCTGGCGAGCAGGATGTCCATCACTGGGATGTGCTCAATGGCATGGGCAGAGCCTGGCAGCTGGAAACCTCCTTTGGTGTTGGTTTGAGGGGGAGGTCTCAGGGCTGAGGAGCGGGGTTGGTGGTAAATTATCATTTGTAGCCCTTTGACGAGAGCAGAAAGGGCCCTGTAAAATGCAGAGAGCAAGCAAAAGAAAAATTGTTTGAATTTGAAGTCAGTAACATCATTTTGAGACCCAAAGTAGTGACTTTTTTTTTTTTAACGAGTGTTGGCAATACTGTCTGTAACCAATGCTGGGCTAAACACAAATTAACCTTTGGGATTTAGATTGCTCCACCCCTAAATCCACAGCTAGAATTGCCAGGTAACTGGGCTGCCAAAGAAACTGCAGGAGCAGAAGTGGGGAAGTTCTCCCAGTTTTCTCCCAGTCTGTCCCCGCTGATGGGGTTTGGCTCCAGTGTCACACCAGCCCCGTGGCGGTGGGTGCCGTGTGGCAGGGCCATCCTCTTGACATTTTAAACTTGACACAGGAGGAAAGCACTTTGGTCTCTGGCTTCAATTACACGTGGGGAATGTAGAAGTTGATGATATTCTATGAAAATTCAATAAACCTTGAGAACAGCATCAGAGCTGGTATCTGTAATTTAAAATAATGGATATCAAGAAACTGTTTCTCATTTATCTTTACTGCCGAGTTTCAGAGGCACCAAAGAGACTTCATTAGTTTTTTTTTTTAAATAGCTTCATCTATCTCAATCAATGATGGGTTCTAGAGGTGGCTGACTATTATGTTTAATAATACACAGGATAGAAAAATGTCCCCATCCTTTCACAGTTCTTGACGTATGTGGAAAGGATGTGTGAAACCACTTCTCGGTGGGAGATGGAAATAGATTTTTTTTGTTGTTGTTGTTTAAAAAAAACCCAACACTTCATTATGCAAGATAAATGCGTTTTTATTGGGAAATGTGATTTGCAGGCAGAATATTTAAATCCTTGTTTTACATGGATTGAAGTTTCATTTAGAAGAAATTAACTTTGGAAACTTGAGTTTAAGCAAACGTTGCTTCCTAAACACAACTGGAAGTGGCCCTGTGAGTGCTGCCCTTGAGCTCCAAGAGACCTGGTCCAGCCTGGACATTTTAGGCTAAGTTTTGTCACTTATGAGACACTGACAACTGGAATTAGCTGTCACTAATCTCTCCCAAATTAGAAGAGGTTTTGCAGCTTCTGGGCAAATACTATGACTGGCAGTATATCTTAAGAGGCTACCGAATAACTTACATATTTTGGCAAGAATTGTGCAGCTGCAGAAGCAGGAAGGGAAGGGGTCAGGAGCTGGCAGCCCAGGAGTTACCCGGAGAGCAGCATTCAGGCAGAGGCTGCTGCTCTAGCAGGTCCCAGCAGCATTAGCACTGTTCCCATCACCCCAGTAAGAGCTCCAGGTAAGTGCAAGAAGATGAGATCCCTCTGATAATTCACACCAACAGTTTACCTGAAATGGGATAATCAGACACCATCTTTTTTTCTAAGTTGCAGTCTGTCTGAAACAGGGTAATTGAACATGATGTTAATGAGTTATTCCATTCTTAAAACAAATCCACGGCATCACTCTTAAAGGGATTCCAGGTAGTGTTTTCTATCAGCTTATTTCTTTCAATTCAGTCCTAAGAAAAATCCCATCACCTTCAGTTATGCAGTTTTATTTCATCGTGTAGCAGCTGTGTGGATCTGCAGTGGCAGTGAGCTTTGAACAGGCTTCGTGTGGTGTCAGGCACAACTTGTGAATGCTGTGGAACAGCCTAAGGTAACTTTCTGGGTTTATTTATTTTTTATTTTTTTTATTCTCATGGTTTGTTAGAAACGTGAGCCTGACCTTCAGTTAGGTGATTCAAGGAACTCTTGAACTACCAGAAAGTGAGGGTCAGGCTCTGTTTGCAGAGGGCGAAGCTGCCGTTGAGTCACTGAGAGGACTGGGGCAGCAGCGTGGCACTCATTAAGAGGCAATGCTTTTTTATATACTCTTTAAAAAAGAACCCTGCATTCATGCTGGATTTCTCCAGCTTGTAATTCTCCGAGATCCTATTCATTCACATTGAGTGCTGTTGAGAAATAGAGTTTCCAAAGGTTACAGCCACTCCTGGGATCGATAAGTCTGGCATGGTTGCATACGAGGAATAAGTGAACCTCGGCATTCAGACGCTTGGGAGCATCGGGTTGTGTGCTCAAGCAGGACGTGATGGATCTCTAGATCTGCAGGAGAAAGTGGTGTGCTTGTACCCAAGGTCACTCAGAAGTTACTGTCATGTACACTCATGTATTCTGAGCTCCAAATGATGAGGTGGGAGGTTCAGTTCATTGCTCCTTGGAAATTCGGGCTCCCAGCAGTGTGTGGTGGGCACTTCAACCCTTACATTTCTGTGTCTTGTAGGCTGTTTGTCAGGTGGGCTTCCTTTGTGTCAGCATAGGAAGTTTTGAAGGCAGAAGGATGGAAGTGTCCTGGTAGAGCAACGCGTCCCATGAATTCCTGGAGGATGCTCCAGGCTGTAGGGACACACTGTGAGTGGGGGTTCTCGAGCAAAACCAGGACACCCAGCAACCTGCGGTTAGGTTTCCTTGTGTTTGCTGTGGAATTACGATGTTTTGAGTCAATGCGTGAGCTGGAGACACTGCATTAACTACTGTCGCATCTAATAAACTGATCATTAATCAGCAGGCGCTGGCCACGTTCAGATTGTGTTGGTTGTGTACTTGTGCGTATTGCAAAGGTAACAGTTCCTGGTACGGTTAAGTCAGAGATCTAAGCGTGTCACTTGAACTTGTAAAGTGCTTTTTATGAATTCATCTTTTCATGCCAGTGTTTTCAATCACTATTCTGGAATTTTCTATGAAAATATTGAGCAAACCAGCTATTGGTATGTTTTAGAAACAAAACATACTGAACTGAATCAACAGCCCGAGAGGGTACCAGACCTTGCCAGGATCCTGCCTGGATGCTGGACTTTCAGATGAGACTTTCCTTGAGCTCATCAAATTAAGAGGAGGAAATAATTCACCTATATTAGAAAAGATTTCTTCTATGTGAGTAAACTTTATCATTAAAACTGCAACCATTCACAATGATTGTAGATCCCAAGGATGTTTAAGAGAAACAAAGCCCCATTTTCTGAATATACAATCCATGTTACTCCAAGTAACACCTGCAGGATGCTGGAAAGTAACTCAGGTTTGATCTTGCTCATGGCAGGAAAGATCTATACACAAAGCAGTGTTGTTTTGTCCCTGCAACAACCAGAAATCTGGCAAATAAAGTGTTTGTTGTTGATTTTTCTCTGTCTTGCTTGTTTTGGGGCACTTCCTACTGGTGCAATAAAAATGATAGAATGTTTTTTCCTGAATGTGTAGTGTCTACAGGTGCTGGTGGATATTTAAGGGCTCTAAGACTGTTCCTGAGTGCTTTGTTGGGTTTGAAAGGGGCACTTAGAAGCATGATTTATTTAGGCACCTCCAAGAAGTTTTGTTTTCCAGTAGTTCAGGTATGTCATGGGTTGTCGAATCCAAGTTATGTTCCAAGAAATGTCCCAGTGATCCTGTGCTACAGGGATCATGGTGCAGAGTGGGATGGAGTGAGATTCATCGAGTTCTCCTAGAACTGAAAGGAAAAGGACAAAAAAAGAGGGAAAAAGTAGTATTGATATCTAAAAATGTTAACTTTACCAGTATAGGTATTCATAATTGTTGCTCTTCTGTGGGATGGGACAAAAAAACTACAAAAAGCCAAAAGAGCTTGCAGGCTTATTACTGCTTTTTGCAGTCTGGTGGGACCGCTCTCTGTCCTCCATTTGAATTGCTCCAAGTGTTCAAGCTTTACTCGGCCATCTCTAATTGTTGTATCTTCCTGTTTCACCTCAGGCTGCCTAGAAAACCTTGGTTCTCTGTCCCCTAAAGGTCACGAACTCCACAGCTCGGTAGTGCTGATGTTGTTGCGCGGGCTCCTGCTCCATTAACACGGTCCATAGGTTGTTTCTAGTCCCCAGAATTGATTTATTTAATCCTTGTAGGTGCCATTTGTTACACATTATTCTCGGCGTTTATTCACAGCACAAACAGATGGTCAACAAAACCAATTAACCTTTCCCGAACTCCCTTCCAGGCTTCCCACGTTTTCCGAGCCCATGGACAAATGAATAAAACCCACCAGGAGACTGGCTGCCAGCCCGTGATGAATAGGACGGCCGAGTGAGGCACGTGAGGAGCTCAAACAAACCTCAGCCCCCGGGGCTTCGTGCTGCAGGAGGACTGTTGCTGACAGAACAGGTAGGAGAAAAGAGCTGCCAAGAAGTGGAGTGACCTGAGCCTGTCTGTTTGCTTATTTAATGCTGTGAAGGGTGGAGGAGATGGCAGCTTAACAGCACTCCTTCTTTAGGACTTATGAGGACTGTATTTTGCACTTAAAGGGCAGGTTTTGTTATTAAACACTTCTTTCAGCCATCAAGACCTTCGCTATTTGCCATGTGAAAATAAAAAATCTTTTATTAGCAATAAATGTAATATATGCATAGTTATAAATTGCCTCCCTGCCCTTTGCTAATCAACAGGAAGACAGGCCATGTGAATTTAGAATGGTCTGTTCATTGTGAACTCTGAAGACAAAGCTATAAATAAGCATGGAGGTGGATCCTATCTTCATCTAGTTATTTATGTAATAAAAACACGAGCGGTTGTGTTGCACAAAACATCCTTTGGTGGTTTCACAGCTGATTAGTTGTTATTAGTTCATGTAGCCCGTTGGATGGACAAGTTTATGTTGTCGTCTTGTTAAATCCTGAACAAAACAAGGTGAAGGGACTTGTCTGAGTGCAGTGGGCTTGTGTCAGGGTTTGCTCTGGATGCTGAAGGTCAGCCCCATGATCTGGGAGGAGCCGCAGCAGCTCCTGCAGGTGGCAAGAGGTGAGTCTGCCAAGAAAGAGGAACTCAGCAGGCAGGGAGACTTCCAAACTTTTAACCCAGATTGTTCTTCTGGACAGATTTACAGAAGCTGTTTGTGACTTTGGCCATTCCATAGCTAACAGCAGTGCTGTTTCAGAAAACGTTGCCTTCAAAACCAAGTATAGTGCAGGTGAACATCATGAAAAGGAAGCCCGTATGCCAGATGGGAAGTTACATTTATTAATTCTACAAATTCTTTGCCCTTCGTTTCCTCCAGCCGTTAGAAGAGCTGGCTGTGCACAGGGATAGCTGGTGCAGGCATTCCTTCCCCTCCAGCCTTGATCAGCTTTGATGTCTGGATGTGCATCGGAGCTCGGTGGCTCGGGCTCTGCCAGCACCAGGGCTGAGCCAGGAGGCTGAATCCCTCTGTGCTGAAGTGCGAGGCATCATAATTCAAACAAAATCTCCGCATCTTGGGTCCCTCTCTAGTTATGACATGAAAGAAGCAAAGATTAAAGTAGAAGCGAATGTATTCTGCAAATCCGAGTCTGATCTCTCCTGTTTTACAGATTCTGCTCTTCAAAAAAAATATAACATTTTTTTGCTAGATTTTCAAGTGGAAGCAAGATGCTCTTATGTCAGGCTGGATCTTAGCAACAATGCGTGGAAAGGATCAGTGTATCAGGAGGGAACGTTTGAGGACTTCCGTGCCTTGCAGCTCTGAGTGCCTCAGGGCTGGGTGGGCGGCCCCTTGGAGCGGGGCCCAGTGCAGCTGGGAATTGGGGCTGCAGCCCCCCAGCTCCTGGGGGGTCCTTCCCTTTCCTCAGCCTTCCAAAAATGGGCACCTTCTGCAGTGCAGACTATCCCAATTTAAATGTCAGTACTCAGTTTAATTACGGATGGTCCTGTGGCTTTTAACACACACACACAAATGATCACCTGAGAAAGAATTCTTAAAATCCCGTTATCCTGTGCACCAAAAACAGATGAAGAAATCCTAACCTCGGACAGAACAGGTGATGGCACTTAAAAACAAGCCATGAATCCACGTAGCCCTCAGACCAGAGGGAGCAGTGCTGTGTTCTGAGTCTCCATCCTCATCCTCACAGCAGAGCGTGGGAGTGGTGTGTGGGTACCTCGGGGTGCGTTGGTCTCCTCACCCGGAGCTGCAGCTGGTGCTCTGTGCATGGTCAAGCACCGCCCTTGGTTTGTGGGGTTTTGCCTGGCAAATTTGGCCACTGACAGGGTTTAGAGCAGTCTGAAGTCATCCTCTGCAGGCCAGGTTTTGCTCTGCCTTCGCTGTCTCCAAGCAATTGTGTCATGGGATATTTTTGTGCCCATATAGAAGGCTCTCAGAGAGCTGCTGCTTTGATAGTATCTTCAAGGCTTTTTATTTTTTTTAATTTTATTTTTCTTTAAATGCAATGCCTGTTTGTCAACTTCTGTTCCAGAGAAAGCTGCACGGCCGTGATGTTTATTTGCCACCCGTCTGCTGATTCCGTCCCCTGCTTTTCTTGCTGTTTGCATGGTAAATGCCCCAGCACGGGCAGCTGCAGAGCAGCCCCGGGAGCATCCATCGGGGTGTTGTTAACACTGCTTTAACAAAACCAACTGCCTGTGCTGAATATTTATTTTTTAGCTCCCATTTGAGTTGTATGTCAGAGCATAATGGAAGCTGCTGAGGATGCTATCTGATGGGGAAGAGCTTGTTGTTGTGATTTATGTACCTGATTTGTGGTGGTGGTTATTTTTATAGAAGAAAAAGGCTGGACTGGGCCTCCTACATGGGTTTGGGAAGCTTTGAATTTGATAAAGAATGAAGATTGGAGTCCATCCACAGGTGAAGAGCTGATTTTTATCACAAAGGTTAGCCAGCTTGGTGTTTCATCTGCTTGGTGCTTCATCCCTGTGGATAGGAAGCAATCCCTAACTCCAACAAAGAGCTGCCACGTCTCGTGTCGGTGCTTGGTGGAAAAGATGCTGAACTACCAAGGCAGAAAACACACTGCTGTGTTCAGAAAAGACAAAATCTGCCTCTTCATGAGCAGCTTCTTTACAGAGTTAAATCCTCTTCTCTTCCCCTATAGAGAATCATTGTAGAATATAGATGGTAAAAGTTACTAAAAGTTCCAGAGCGTGAAGACAAGCTGACTTCAGGGATGTTATGAGCCCATCTTTCTTGTGCATTTAAAAAAAAATAAATCATGAAATGTCCGTCCTGTCCCATGCATCTTGTTGAGGTACAGTTATCATTTAGTTCTCTCCATGCTCAGTGGGAAGGTAACCTGAGGAACGCCTGCAGAGCTAGAAAATAGCTTGTCGGTGCTAGAACAGTTCTATAAGTAGAAGAAATCTGTAAGTAAACCCAAATTTAGCTTCAGACAGTAAATTTCTCAATTCCCTTCATGAACAGTTTCTTGCAGGAGTTAATTACATTTTAAAGTGATGATTGATTATCCTGATGTGGTTGAAACCACTGCAATTAAATGTAAGAGCAGTCAGAACAGTAAGAGCAGTATTAATATGCAAAATGTTCAAATATCTTTTTTTTTTTCCAGCTCCCTCTTGAAGCGTTTCCACACCTACGTGTATTTAGCTCCTTTTTTTTATAGCAGGTAATTAGCAAGCCGGTTAACTTGACAAACACAGGGACGATTTTATATGATGATAGTTGAGATATTTCAGTATTGATACATTTTTGCTTGCGTTGAATATTTTGAGCTGCACAACTCAAGTATTTTAGTGGCTCTAAAGCAAACTACATATTCCTTTATAGTTTTACCAGTTTGGATTTGTGGATTTGTAGCTATTGATTTCCTGGGAAAATAAATATTTCAGAAAGGAACTCCTTAAATCGAGAGTTAGGTCTCTTGGTTCTCCACGTTTTAAATCAGGCTTTGATGGCTCTGTGGAAAATTCTTCCACTCACTCTTGCTGATTTACAACTGGAGTAAAATCATTTAAAAATTTGAAGCGTTCATCTTCTAGCACAGGGGATCTTTTCATAAACAAATTCTCTTTAACATTAAAGATGAGCTGGAATAAACTGTCCCAGTTCTGTTGAGCTGTATTAGGCTGTTCCAGCAGGGAATGCAGCTGCCATGTTCAGCAAAATCCGACACGAGACTCAATTAATGCACAGGAGTGCTTGTGAGGTAGCTTGTGTCCATAAGCTACACAAACTCTTTTTTTTTCTCCTGTTGAAAGATTTGCTAATTGTTCTGCCTGATGGGGCCTTGCAGAATCTGGAAGCGTTGTCTAATTTCCTGCTTTGTGTGATTATTTTTTTTTCATTTTTAGTTTTTTTCCCTGCTGTCAAAAACTCCCCCAACATCCATTAGTTTCATTTGCTGTACAGACAATGAATTAATTTCCCATTTTTTCCTGTCATTGTGCTTGTTGCAGATTTACTTAACAATAAATAATCTCTCGGTGTTCTCGCTGCCTGTTACTCCGGCAGTTTTTGTTTCTTTTCTCACAAACGACCCAACCTCTAAATCCTTGATTGGGTCCCAAAATGAGCTCCAGAAGCAGCAGCCTTCTAGTTTGCTCCTGTGTCTCTCAGGGAAAGGTATGGGGACGCTGCAGGTGGATCAGCACTCCTGGCACACACCAAGCTGGGAGCCCAAAAGGCGGCGGTGCCGAGCGCACGCACCTGGTAGGGAACAGCTCCTGCCGTCAGCAGCACCTCACAAGAAAACTGTATAACTGCCAGGGTGATTTATGGCTTTTTGTGGCTAAGCTCCCAGTCAGATAATTTTTCAGTGTCCACTTTTCTGCAGCGCTGCGTAAAATGGAATTAAAATTGAGAATTCAGATCCTTTGCCTTGGGAAATGGCTTGTTTTGGGAGAGGGGCAGCAGGGGCACGCGGGGAAGGCAGCCCAGCTCGCAGGTGCTGTAGGGTGGTGGGGGTTGGATCTGCTTGTGCTTGGGAAGGGTTTTATGGGGAGGTGCTGGAATCATCCTGGGCAGGCAGGATTGTCCAGCTGTGGTCTGGCACAGGATTTAAGCAGAAACGTGGGGAAATGAGGGTAAAAAAGCCGCACACCTTAAAATGTGAGCAATTCAAAGGAACTTGGATCGTATTGCCCATCACCTGCTAAATGGGATCTTGTGAGTTCTCCACCCTTATGTCCTGATTATCTTAAGCTTCAGGAATGGAAAGACAAGTGGCTTGGACTATTTACTGAACACCCAGGTGCTAATACAAGAGCAAACATCAGAAGTCCTCATGGCACAGCTCGGTTCCTCGGGCTGAGGCACCAGGGCCTCTCCTGAGCATCCTCGGTGCCCTCCGAGGCCTGCAAGTGTTTGTGGCTGCTTCTCGCCCTCTCAGCTCTTACAAGGTGGGGTTAACAGTGTTTACAGAACCAAAAGCATCATCTGC